CGTTAACTGCTTCCTCCTGGATTATGGGGGCTTCATTCTGCTCTCCATCTCTGTCTTCCAGCTCAGGGGGCTGAATGCCCTGGGGATAACTGGTCTGGCTATTAAAGACAGAGGCAAAGAAGGCATTAAGTACCTCAGCCTGCTCCTCATCCTTGGTGGCAATGTTCCTCCCTGCATCCAATAAAGGATGGAGATTCTCCTTGGCTGTCTTTTTGTTGTTAATGTATTTGTAGAAACTTTTTTTTATTATCTCTGACAACAGTGGCCAGATTGAGTTCTAGCTGGGCTTCTGCCTTTCTAATTTCCTCTCTGCATGACCTAACGAGATCCCTGTACTCTTCTTGAGTTGCCTGCCCCTTCTCCAAAGGTGGTAAACTCTCCTTTTTTCCCCCGAGTCCCAGCAAAAGCTCCCTGTTCAGCAAGGGAACAACAAAGTCTTCAAAAGAAAACACGCTGCTTGAAATACTGAATTTTGCATTTTCTGACATCAGCTTAAACTGGTAACAAGACTTTCAGAAAGATGTATCCACTAACAAAATACAGGTACAACTAAACAGTGATAAATGAAGTGAGAATCAACCTGTTTCATTATCACCTCTAACTTTTTTTTGTGACTGTCTCAGGATAAAATAAAGAATTAATGGAGTTCTGCATGCAGTCTTGAAGAAAACACAGCGACAGCAAGGCAGGGGGTAGGGGGGAGGGGAAGGAAATCAACAAATGATCCAAAGCAGTAACTAAAACATAGGCTCAGGATCACGAAACACAGCATAAGACATGATCAAGAGGCAGCATTCAAAGTCCCTTATCCCACCATTCTTTTTTTTTTTTTTTTCTTACAGAAAAACAAGAGTAACAGAGAAAAAAGTGAAAAATATTTTTGGCTTGATCTCCACCGATCTTGTAATATTGAAAAAAATCAATGTATATTACGAAATTCATGTTGGTGCATTTTTTTATGTACCAAAATCTATTGTGTATAGGGAGCTGTGATCAGTCAGGAAGACTAGTCACACAAAGTCACATGAAATGTAAACGTATGATTTAATATAATTAAGTGTAATACAAAACACTAAGACATATTCAATGAAGCAGCATATCCTAAAATTAAGAAACTAACACACTAAAAGGATCCTTAGTAAAAAACAAAACCCAAAAACACAACAAACAAAAAAACCCAATAACTAAAATAACTAAGATCTATTGTTGTAACACAAAAATGGAAAACAAGAATGCAAATCTCATAGTTAGGGGAAAGAGTGAGAACAGAGATGATATTCTGGATGGAGGAAAAGAAAGAAAAAAGAAAAAAAGCTGGCTTTATCAGTTTATACCTTCCAAATCAAAACTAGGTCTCTTTCTAGGGGTAGTTCCAACCACAAATCACTAAAGTCAGCTAGGGAATTACTGAACAAAGTTGCATAGCCAATGCTGCTCAGAAGATCATATTACGTTATCAAAGCAGTACCTTTTGAATTTTAAAAATTGTCTGTCACAAAGAAGAAGAAAAAATCAGCTTTATGCTGAGGTCTGAGACAACAATGTTTTTGGCCTTAATTTGTAGTTTTCTTCTACCTGTAGCTGAAAAACCTCTGAAAAAGGCTGTAAGATATATACTTCAAAGACAAATTGCAAGTACGCTCTATGATGGAGTTAGTGGGTTGCTGTCTGGCCTTGAAATTTTTCACCATTTTCTGCTTTGCTGCTTTTGGCTTACTTTCGTCTGATTCTAGCCCGCATTCTCCCAAGACTGACACAGGTACGTTTTTATACACTTAAAACCACTAATAATTCATTAATTTATCAATGTACTGAAAAGACAATGCTAAACAAAGGTTTTGCTACTTATCCTAAGCATACATTTATTCAGATTAAGCTATTTTAGGAAAGCCTGCAGGTAAAACCAACAAACTAGAATCTACACTACAGCAGTAAATCTATATTGGCTGCAGAAAGCACCAGAGAGCACAGGAATAGCAAACAGGATAATTTAAATACTGAAAATGAAATAAGCAGTATATTAGCACCAACCACTTCATGAATAATTGTATTTACCTCTGAATGAACTCTCTGTATGTGTGACTGAAGATTGCCTTTCTGAGAAAAGGCTGCAGGACAAAAGGCACAAGCATGGGGTTTTTCACCAGTGTGCTTGATCATATGGGTCTGCAATGCCCCCTTCTGGTTAAAGGCTTTTCCACATTCACTGCATTTAAAAGGTCTTTCACCTGAAGGGGGGGAAAAAAAAAAAAAAGAAAAAAAAAAAGGATGTGGGGTAAGGGGCTTCAAATAAATGTTAGTAGTTTCCTGCATCTAAATGAAAAATTCTATCAGTTAAAATAAAATACTTCAGATAGATATCTCTACATACACACATCAACACAGAAACATACATTATTAGGTGTTTTGACAATGAAATCATTTACCTCAACCACCAGTCTCAGCTTCTACTCTGATAAAGATATAGCTTTGTAAAAAACTTTCTTGACCTAGCTGATGATGATCAGTTAAAATGCATAAATTAAATGAAACTTGTATGAAACAATGACTTGGAACAGCTTCCCTCAGCTTGTGGTCTGGAAGATCTCAGAAGTTGCTATGCAAAACCAGGGCGGGAAAAGAAAAAGGGGAAAAGAAAAACCAAAACCACGCCATTCTTTTACATCAAATCCTATAAAATGTAAGCACGGAAAACAAACTGGGAAGCAGAGCGTGGAATGGACAGTAATAAGTCAAAAATTCAACCCTTTACTTAGTCTAAAATCAAAAAGTCTTACAGCAACACTGCAAAAGATGGCCCATGGTTCCCGCTCCCCAATAAACAGCCATTCATTCTTTACAACCACCTACTGAAAATGTGCAATAACAGTTTTATTATATGAAATATTGTACAGCCCTGCTCAAAAAATAATTTTAAAACCTGGAATGTTTATATTACTACTGAACATTAAAGAAAATCTAGGCAATACGCTTACAGGAATGCTGTGTCACTATTTCCTGATTTTGGTGTTCTCAGTGCTGTGCTTACTTACAGTTACTTGTACATGAACACAGTAACCATGAAAAACTCCCCAGAAATTGTAAGTGACAAAACATAATAGAACTGCATTAACATATTACAAAGCTACATATTTTAAACACACAGATACTAGGAACAAAGTTCAGTTTCTTACTTACCATATGTCTTAATTGACTACTGGAAATCTCCACTGTGAACTCAGTATTACTCTTTTTTTTCTTTTAGTGAAACAGTTTAGCTGTGGTAACTCCAGGACCTTGAGAACATTTAATGCTTTGCCTTTGCACATTTCTATAGCAAAAACACTATAAGCATGCTGTACATTATGTCTGCTACACCAGTAAGTACTAGCATGTGCTAAATATTATGCACACTAAAGCAGTTTTAATGAATATTTTTATATGACTTCTAATTATATAGCTGTAATTACATCCAGTTTAAAATGATTAATTCTTAAGTACATTCACATTGTCTGAAATAAAAGCAGCTATTTTATTAAACAGATTACAAGCACAGAACTCACATAATAGTATCAACTGGAGGAATGTATATTTTCTGTTCTGCTGCTTACGGCTTTTAAAGATGCTTTAAGGTGTGCGGGTTTTAACTGTATATTTTTTAATATAGATTAAAATACAGAACACTGATTCAGATCTTCTTGAAATACAGTGACAAAATTCATACTGGGCTTTCACAGGTAAAAGGCTGAGCTTCCACTAATAGCTGCTGGTGGACACATAGTATTGCTTCAGGTTAACTTTGCCTATTTAAGTGAATTTCATTATAAAAACTAAATCTTAATTCTAGTGTGGAAGTGTGGAATTTCTGTATTTCTCAAGTATAACTTAATAAAGTACAGATTTGGGAGAGGGAATGGGGGGTTCATTGCTTAGTTATTAATATGGGAATTGCAATCCCTGAGATTTAAAATCTTTTTTTCGCAAAGGATGTAAGTGCTTGAAATTAATAGCTATGAATAAAAAAAGTATTGCAATTAAGACACTAATGTAATGCTGTACATGTAGCACAGACATGCTATTTTAACAATTAAAGACTTAAGAATTCTAAATTCTTTAAAGCCGAGTTCTTCTTTCCTATATATTTTACAGTACATCAAGCAATTGGATGCCAGACAGATTGTCTGCAGATTCAAAGTAATAACATGCTTCACAAATATAAATGAGTATTCACTAGCTACTTGTAACTTAAAATGACCCACCACCGTATGCAGAACGGGACTACATTTTGTGTCTCTGGTTTCCCAATAGACAATGCCTTTTTACTCTTCAAAAGAACTATAAATGCTCTTGAACTTTTTGAAGCTTTAGACAAGTGTCCTCAACCACCTATAATCTTGTTTATTTAATTCTTACTAGAATAAGCTAAAATAATGTATCAAATAGATACAAAACTCTAAAATATGAAAGTTAATTTTCTATGACTTTTTTTGGATATTACTTTGAGGCAACTTTCAAAGCACGTACAAGGGTGACCTCTTGTGTTACTGTTTTCCAATTAAATTATAAAGCTTAATAAGATTCCTAAGAAAGTCACGCAACGGAATTTTTATTTCTCCCTTGGCAAAGTCATTCTTGTACATGGCAACATCACATCACTGTCTGAACAGACTGCTATACAAACAACATTGCACACTTACATAATTTACTACTTTAATTAGCTAAAAACTAGACAAACAGCAATTTATTCACAAGATGGAAAATACACATATATTGCACATCACTGGAGCACCTTCAATGAAGGTTTTGTTTAAAGCCAAACTTACACTCTATCATGTATGTCTGGTTAAAACCTGAAAACTATTCCTACAGTCCTCTGCACACTTAAAAAACGTTTGTATTATTTTATACTTAGCATTTTTCAGTTATTTCAATTGCTTAAGGGTTAAACAAATGCACAGATTTATTACAGTAACGTTGCAAAAACTATCTGCTATTCATTCTGCAAAACTGAACAGTCACCTTCTTCTCCATGTATCAAAATTACAATCTAGGCTTATCACTTTGCAAGTTCACTTTGGACATCCTGCAAATGGCAGTTACAGTAAGTACAGAAAATATACAGCAGTAATTCTAAATAAATCAATCTAAAAACAAAAGCAAGGCCACTATGTTAGTAGTATTATTCATTCTCATGTATTTCTACTCTTTTTGTGATTGTAAATTTTAGAACCTGTTCTCTAGAATATGTAAGATCTTTATTAGAGTACCTGACTGGCCCTTACCTAGGTATTCTAATTTTAGGGCCCATTGAAACTTTAAGTACCAAAACTGGTATTCTGTAACAAATGAAACAATGAAACCTGTAGAGTACTTAAAATTTCCAGATGTGTTTCATAAGAAACAGTTAAAAAGATGTTGAAAAGCATAAAAATTTCCTAAGCAAAGGAATTACAAAAAGGTTTTTTTAAACCAACAGGTAACAGCGTCTAATGAGCAAGATGTATTAATACTATTTCACGTCCCAACTGGGAGAAAAATATTTAGCATTTCACAGATTAATTGAATTTTGTAAAAAAAATGCAAACTAAAATTACTTCCACAGTCTTACCTGTGTGTATCCTAACATGTCGTGTTAACTGACTCGGCTTCTGGAACGTCTTTCCACAGTGAGGACAGGAATAGGTAAACCCACTTCTGTCAATATTTCTGTTATAAGATCTGGTATTTGATACCCTGTCATTTAAAAAAAAAAAAAAAAAAAAAAAAAAAAAAAATGGAAAAAAAAAAAAAAACAAATTGACATAAGAATTGACATAAAATCCTCTTAATTCTAATATTAAATGTTATTTTGAAGAAGCTGATTTTACCACATCATTTTTTAACATACAGTGTAAATTTGATGACAATGTATGGTATCAGCTGCAACAGTTAAAAACCAAACTCTTTAATGATACTGAAAGAACAATGTAAATAGAGCACTTTTCTAAGTGCCTGCAAACACCAGGGATTTCACAGTTATTTCTGTAATAAAATTGATACTTCATAAAGGTTCTCTAGAGACATTTTCACTGTAAATTCTGCTAGAAGTATACAGTGACTTCACAACTACATTTTGGTAGGAACTTTCAATTCTGTGCAACTTTTTTTCTTTTACCTGAACACAGCAAGACTTTTGCTCTTAACTAGAATAGGCAGATCTCATGAACTGGAGTACAAATGCAGCTGCTGAGGTCTGACAAAACCAGGTTAAGAATTTAAAAACCCAAATATTCACCACTGCTCCTCAAATACAAATCACGATCTCCAGAGACACAGTAACAGATGACATAAACTCCCATACTTAATTTCTCTACAAATAAAACTAATTAGGTTAAGTGACTGCTGAAAAACAGCAACATGGAAAAAACAACCGATTTTATGCTGGAAAAAAAACCAAAACCCTGAAAACCTAGGTGATATTAAAAGACCATTACAACAACTCAGTTAAAGAAGGTGAAACCGTAAGGCAGCGTGGTATCTAGAGCACTCCACATTTTCCACAGTGCCTGAGTATTTACACCCATACAGTGATCCAGCTTGTCAGTACTGCTTAAAGCTAACTGAAATTATACAAATTTAAATACCTGGTGTTTTTCTGAACAACTGAGAAATAAGATTTAGCTAATGTGGAGCAGATGTGCAAAATACACCACCACCTTGAAACACAGGCTGGTATAACAATATAAAACATAACCGGGGAGTAACAGTCCATGCGTAACACAGGAAATCATTAAACTTCTGCTCAAATGATGCATCTTTCTACTCTAAGAGAACATAGATACTCAGTATATATTTAAAGGAAAGCCCATTTTCCCTTCCAATTACGTCAAATGAATATTACATGCATTTTTAAACTCTTTTTATAGTCTTGCAGAGCAAGCGCAGAGTTTTGGTAATATATTTTACTTTTACATATTAATTGTATCTATAAAAATTTACTGAAGTATCCGGAGTAAAATCAACTGACAATTGAAGAGCAGGAGCAAGAACAGCACGGATGTTAGATGTTCTTCTTTCCATCTCAGGACAGATCCAGACCAGCCTGATTGTCAGCACACACTCTCTGATGAGCAACATCATCTGTTTCAACCATAGTTGTGGCATTTTAATAAAGGAAATAATATCCAATTTGGAGACAACTGCAGGGACAATCCTTCAAGACCAGATCACCTTCTAAAATATTCCCTCATTTAGAGTTATAATGATGATTTTCCTTTTAGCAAAAGGTAGATACTAAATATAAATTGTAACTTCATAATAGTTCTCCATTCAAATGTTTCAAACACTATTAAAACAAACACCTTTTTGGAAAGGAAAAGTGCACCGCTTCATGAAAAAAAACTTAAGGGAACAAGGCTCTTCACTATTTTAAATCCTAAAATTTTGTGAAGCTTATTTTACAATGGAAAGCAGGAAACCAACAGTAAGATTTGTAACTACTGGTGCACGTCTTTGAACTTTATATACAGTCAAACAGGTTAGATCAAATGTTAACTCTTCATAATTCATCTGAACAGTATGAGAGGATCACGTCAAATAATAAATTTAAAAAAAAAAATTAGAATGTCCACATTACTGCTTTCAAAATAATTTCTACTGAAACACAGAAGGTGGAGCGGGATCACTTACGCAATTCATTAACCTGGCTCACATAAATGAGTTGTATTGGTACTGCTGGTGAAAGGACAGTAAAGCACCGTTACAAGCAGTAGTTTCTTGAATACAAATGCAACATGTTTCTACATCTGAACTGATAAATAAGGCGAACCTCATATAAGGAAGCTCTGAATCCAGAAATAATCCACATTTATGAAAATAAATTATCGTGGAGCACTTATATCTCATTTGTATCAGAATGTAGCATGCTAATACTCTCTCAAAATTGCAGCCGTCATATTAGATTCACTCATCCATTCTTTATTTATTCATCCTAACTTACACAGGAGATGTCCACAACAAGGACGGTTTTTTGTGTGTAATATTGTACAACGCAACAGAAACATAACAACTTTACCTCAATTTTCAGTTTGCAAATGGAAGGACATTTTTTGTGTGTAATATTGTAAATGCAATAGAAACATAACAACTTTACCTCAATTTTCAGTTTGCAAATGGAAATCTACAATACTTTTTTTAAACCTTCTGGAACACAACTATTAAGCTCTCACAACCTGCATCAACTGCTAATAAAAATAATTGGAAATACCCAATATTTCTCATTTTTAAATACATATTTTTCCCCCATCTGTTTTTTATAGAAACAGAGTAAAGATTAAGAGAGATCACCTGTCAATAACCTTAGGTTTTCTTACTGTACAAACTAAACCAATAGAAGTAAGTTTTTCTTTCTTCTAACTTAAAAGTAATTTTCACCTTCCTAAAAGTGAAGTTAAACTAGAGAGCTGAAAGGAAGGCCAGAACAAATTTTCACCGAAAGTAAGAACAGCATTTACTAGGCCTGTTTTTTCCCCTTCATTTTGTGCTTTTTCACATTTACAAGAACCTCACAGCACATTGTGGTGAGGACTACTTGCAAAAGACAATCAAACTGCAAGGAACAACTTATTTCTTTGCAGAAATTAAGTATTAGGATTTTTGCAATTATAACAACTGCTACGTAAAATTAGTATAAATTTTCTTCAATGTACTGCCATTAGCTTTTAAAATCACACATGAACATAATTCAGAAAGCACTCTGTATCAGAAAAACTTTGCCTGTGTTTACAAATAGCTGGCAGATGGAACTATGCTTAGTATTGGTGCCTAAATACAAAACCAGAAAAAAAAAACAAAACCCAAAGGCCTCCAAAACATAACCACCTACTTTAGTAAGGTTTTAAAAAACAAATGCCATTTTGTAACAACATACCAAAGAAAAGAAGTGATCTGCATAGATCATGGTACTTTGCTGACTGGAAATGCCACTCTTGCTTCCCCCAGCTATCACCATAAAAGTAACATCTGCTCATTTTGTTATAATCCCGTGATTGTTACCTTATTTTATAGTGAGTTTTCATATGCTCCTTTAGCTGTGAGGAAGTTTCAAATTCCTTTTTGCAAGACTTGCAGCTGTGGATCCTACTGCCTGCCAATTCTTGACGATGTTCTTCCATGTGTATGGACAGCTGACTCTGTAAAGTAAATTCATCTCCACACTCTGAACAGATAAGATTCTGAAAGAGATAATAGAGACTGATTTTTCAAAAGATTCCCAAACAGCGGTACACTTGCACAAGCTTTGCTCAAGTAGATGAATGTATCCTTCTATGGACATTGGCAGCTGGAAGCAAGCAGCAATAGAAGTATACAACCAAAAAAAAAAGTTTATGAGCACTGTAATACAGATCATGAACAAAAATCACTGCAAGCTTATGGTAATATTTATATTTTAAGAAACCCCACTGAAATGGAATTCGGAAAAAGTTCATATGGTAGCAGAAACAAGCAGTTCAGTACCATCCCTACCACCACTCCCTATTTCCTTAGTAGGCCAGTTCAAGATACACACAAAAACTTACCTCAGTGCCACTATGCTATGGTCTACACAAACATTTGTAAAAAATCCTACTTTCTAATCAGAAACATCTTAACTGTAGATTCAGGGATTTTACACTTCACTGGTTAAAATGACACAAATGGCCACTTACTTTTTAGCACTAATCCTACCACAGTTACTACTGACTCTTCTTAAGCTATCTTTACAGAAAAGACAACAGAAATAAATAGGGACACATAATTTTTTTGACAGATATCGCCTGAACTCATTAATTTTACAGCAGTGTTAAACATACCACTTTCCAGTTACATTAGTATTCCATGTCATTTAGAATGGAAATCATACTTGTAATGTTTAATGCAAAAGCACTGCCATTTCTCTGAAATTTAGAGGAAGATTTGAAGTCAAATACTGTTTCAATGAAAACTAAAAGCTCTGCATTTATTTGACTTCCTTTTGCTTTTCAAAACCATTAACTTAATTTCTCAGTGTATCTTTGTTTTACAAAATCTAAGCAGAGAGTTAAGATTAAAAGTCTAAAAATATTCACCACCTCTTTGGTAATACATCTGTTACATGTTCCTTACTGGTGTAAGTAACTTCAGACAGTTTTCGTCTCAGTTCATTTTTCAATAATCATAATTATCACTGCAAATGGAAATGTTTTTTATCCCCCCCCCCTTTTTTCCCCTCTTTGAATGATCAGCAAGGGAAAAAACACCCCAGTGTTCATTTAAATAAAGGTATTGACAAGAATATTTTAATCAAGAGGAACAAAGATATGCAATGCTATTTTTAAAATGCTTTGACAATAAATTTGTTTCCTAAGTCTAAAAAAAACAAAAATTCTGCAATATTGCCAGACAACGTTTCTACATAAAAACTCAGAAATCTGAAGTCCTTTAATGAAATTAAATACTACCTCAAAAATTACTTGTTTAATCTAACCTGCAGATCTTTGTTACCAGACTCAAGTTACAGTGTGGGACAATAAATACATACTACGTTCCTTTCCAGGATCTACATTCAAATCCAAATAAAAATACTTATTATTGAAAAATATTGTTCTTATACAACAAATTTGGCTTATGACAATCCTTTTGTACAAGTGGGGAAAAATTACCTGAAGAGCAGCTTACAGTGCATACTATATCAAGCTCATGGTCCCCAAAATTGAGTTTGTCAATTGCTTCTCAGCATTTTTCAGACACACATTATCTATGACATTACGTTACTATTACACATATTCTATTAAGCAACTTCCTCAAACAACAGAATAGCCTAAGAAGAAGTACTTGAGACAACAAACATCTATGTATTTTTATTCATTACTGAAGAATTTACTGTAGGAAAACAAGAACATGGTAAAATAGAAAAACTGTACAAAAACCAGCAATATCTCATACCAAATAGCCTCTCTCTGGAATAGACAGTACCAGATTTATTTTTTTGCCCCTCAAGCAAACAAAAAAATCCACCACCACACAGAGAACAAGTAATTACACACTGTTAACGTCACTATGGTTAAAGCCACCTTCTAACATTAAACAAAAGGGGCTGTTCATACATTGCTAGATAATACTTAAAATTTCCAAACTCAGAAATAATTTTAGAAAGCTTTACTCATCTAATTCTGCCTGTATTAACTATCTTATCAGATGCAGTATCTGAAGGAACACTTTGGAACCCATGATCTTGGAGTACAGGTCTCATGAGGAGCAGCTGAGGGAACTGGGGTTGCTTGGCCTGGAGAAAGGAGGCTGAGGGGAGACCTTATCGCTCTCTACAACTACCTGAAAGGAGGTTGGAGTGAGGTGGGTGTTGGGCTCTTCTCCCAAGTAGTTAGAGATAGGACAAGGGGAAATGGCCTCAAGCTGCATCGCGGGAGGTTTAGATTGGATATTGGGAAAAATTTGTTCACGAAAGGAGTGGTCAAGCATTGGAACAGGCTGCCCAGAGAGGTGGTGGAGTCACCATCTCTGGAGGTGTTCAAAAAATGGGTAGAAGTGGCACTTTGGGACATGGTTTAGTGGACATGGTGGTGTTGGGTTGATGATTGGAATGATAACCTTAGAGGTCCTTTCCAATCTTAATGATTCCTAGTTTTTACTTTCATTATAAATAATCCAGCCACCAAGCCAGGAAACATGAAATTGCTACTCTACCCTTAATTGGTTTAGTGATGGACTTGCTAATGTTAGGTTAATGGTTGGACTGGATGATCTTAAAGGTCTTTTCCAACCTAAACAATTTTATGATCTTCATCTGTGTAGTATCAATGACTCCTACCATCTGTAAAAGAAGATTTTAATTTGCACTTTTTCAAAGACCATTGCTACCAAATTATAAAGACAAGACAAATCAAATACAGTGAACGTTCTTTTAAAAAAACCAAAACACACACAAAAACAATGGGATTTTTTTAATAATGGAATTTTCACTCCATATCCACCAAGCATCAGTTTTAACTTTTTCAACATATTAAGGTTTTCCTAAAGCCCAAGAAAACCTCATGCTCATGGAGAAAGAAGACATATTAGCTATTTTAATGCTATAAATTATAATTTTTCAGTTTGTATTTAGCATTCCTGTCTCACCAGGTCAAAAAGTACCACTGTCCATTTCCACTGAGGACATGGACAAAACCAAGAAACCTCTACAAGGTCAGGCATATTTACACAAGGTATGTTCTTTATGACTTCTTAAAAGAAAGCTACCTGAAACTGAGGAATTTCAAGCATGTTTTTTTTCCTGTTATACCAGTTTATCACACACAAATCACTAAAGAACATGAGGACAAAATTTAGTTTCTTGCAAAACAGATTTAATTAGCCCAGAAAATTCCTTCTGGAACCTCTCACAGGAGCAATCAGTCACGAAAATCTGCATTTCAACAGAGAGATACGCTCTCCCAAACCTAACTGGAGAGCTCAAGAAGCTAATCGCACTAGTTTCTTGTTACTACCCTTCTGCACTCACCTATAGAAAAAGCTGGCTGATGCAGCACAAAGCGAGACTAAAGTTACCCAAACCTCAGCTTTGTGCAGTAGTCTCCTCAACTGCTACGTATAAGTGAGTACATATCTCTGCTCTGTTTTCAGATTTTCAGCTTTTCTAACAGCAAGAGTAAGAAAGTGATAGCAACAGGAGGAAGAATGTACTCCACCGATAACTTAACTTCTTATCCTGCACATTATGAAAAACTCCTGAATGACAGCTAGTGCCATCATCAAGACCCTCTGCTTCAAGTTCAAATTCCAGCTCTCCTACAGGCCCAGTGCATAACTATCGGAAAAGTAATTCTTGCAATTCTCTGTGAATTTATTGTTATGTTCATCTGTTTTGTCACAGAATTATAGAGCATCACAATAATACATTCATTAGCAATTGAAGGGTGTTAATATAAGTTTAATTTTTAAGCTGCAGATTGAATTTTAAATTGAAAGGCGTCACACAACCTATTCTTCCGACATCTGCACCAAGTATCAAAATCAGAGCAGCTGAAGTGGATGAAAAATCACTTAGCAATGGAAATGAGTACTAAAAATCACTTTCAGGCATCTTTCTTGATGCTCAGTTTCCTTATTCTGATGTTTTCAGCAATTCATAAATCAAATTTACTCAATAAATACCCATTAAACTATGTATCATTATAGATACATTAACATGCAACAAAATTGTACTCAAGTCCTCTCATTTTAACTCAGTTCATATTTTGTCATGTACACAACAGATAGCAAGATTCAAGAAGGAATACATTCTCTACATACGGCATTCCCTGCCCGGTTTCAGGAAAAATGCAAGCAGGCCTATCATGCCAAACCTACTGGTAAAAACTGCTGTAAGCTGTCTGCAGTTGGTATATAGAAACATACAATTGTTATGTTCATGATTAGAAGTCTGGCGATAAAAGTACATACTCGACTCAGCTCCAATTCTCCAACGCAAAGTGCAATTTTAAAAAAGCGTTCACAGGAGGAAGAGGTAATCACATGATTGAAAACTTGGTATTCTGGGCAGCACAATCAACTCTGGCAACTGCAGTAACACAGTAATGACTATAAAGTGTGCAAAATACTACTATGCATTAACTGTTTGCTGAGAATTTAACCAATGCCTTATAAAAATGCAAAATGAAATTGTGAGAGGGGAAGGAACAAGAAGTCCTCTCAAGCGAAATAACCACTCAGAAAAGAGGTGGGAGTTCTAGAAAAGGGAACAGCTTCATGATGTGAGAAACAGATGGTGAGAGTGCCTCACCATGACATCTGCCATCAAAAATGAACACCCAGACTATTATGTGTGGGCTTATCAATGTACATGAAATCACAGAAATTGCTTCAAAATAAAAGTATTTGTAAATAACTAATCAGTTAATGTTCATATATCATATGATACCTATTAAACTTGCACAGATTCTCTTTGTTAATAAAGACAGGATGGGAACACTTGCTTATATCCAGTATATTCATTTCTGCTACTATTATTAGAACAGACTCCCCACTAAATGTTTTATACTTCTTCTGAATGAGACCATTTATTCAATCCTCCAACCTAAAGCATATAGGTAAGGGATTAAGTACAACCATTATGACATGTCTTTTCAAAATTCAAATTATGAGGTTTAATGAATTACCTCTTCTTTCTCATGTAGCATTATATGAGCTTTCAGACTGGCTACTCTGGAGAATTTCTTGTTGCACACAGGACATGTAGGATCTTCACCATTGTGAGTACATTTATGAAGTGTCAAGTTGAATTCAACATTAAATGACATCGGACACTGGTCACATCGGTGAGGCTGTTTGTTAAAACCACAAAAATAAACACAAAATTCAATCTTCCCAGAAGTTACATATACCCTAGGTGACACATAACCATACAAATCAAAATATTTAAAATAAAAAAGAGCAATTCAAGTACCTACATATGATAATGATCCTTAACAATAACAGCATTAAGGATTTTCTCTTCTTTGCATCTCACTACTGAAAATGCAAATACAGCATTTCAAGAGTATATGGGGAAAGAAGGAAAAAGGGGGAAGTAAAGAAAGCATAGACTCAAAACTTAGGCTGCCCGAGGAGAGTGAAGTTAGCAGGAAAGAAGAATGAGGAAAAGATGGAAATAAATTTTCCTACTTTAACTGAGATCGTGAACTCTCCTGAAGCAAAATTAATAATTGAACCAGCAAAGCAAAGAGCTTAGTTTATGCTAGGATCGACTGCTCTGAGTTGGGATCTGCACAATCAGTTTTCATTCTTTAAGAGCACCTTTGCTTTTAGATCTAAAGGCTCTTACACAAGTGTGCAACAGCATGGTTTTAACCACATCAACTTCCATTTTTTATATATCAACTTTACAACGTTGAAACTTGTGTAAGTAGTTCTTCGTATACACGAATTATCACCTCAAAGTCCTACATTTCGTAAAAAATAATCTGTACCTACAGCTACCTCAAACAGTAATAAAATTATTTTTCCATCACATGTAAAGTAGTTTCAGCTTTGTGAAACAGAAAACAAGGAACAGAAATGAAATGCTTCAGATTACAGATGAAACCTATGGCAAAAGCTTCATGTAAAAACCTCAGTCCACTCTTAATCACGTATCTGTATTTTTCTCATTCTCTCCCCAATTTGATTTGTATGCAGCTAAAGTGATGACATTAATCTACTGACTAATACATACATATTAGATTAGGTTGCTGAAAACAGCTATAAGAGACTAGCAGGGTCCAGTTAATCAATATAAGCATTCTTTTCTTTTTATTGCTAATGCATAGAATCAGTTTGCAAATTCAATTAGAAGAAACCCATACATTCTCTCATCCACCTGAATATGTTAGAAATCAAAGAAAATGGCTAAAATTAAAAATTACTGAACTGGAAACAACAATCTAACTAAATGGCAAAGTAAGGTCCTGTCTCAAAGGAAACCTGAGGAAACATGAAACAGAAATTTCATAAAACTCTGAGGTCCCCAAGTAGTACTTACTAGTGCTGAGATTAAATAAACCCAAAAATGATGTCTGGTGTTAGCTTTACTTGTCAGTATATGAAAATATCAATATGCACTTGTATTTTCTAAGTTTATATCTACTAAAATTCATACCTTGTCATTTTGCTCATGATCCCTCATATGGCGCTGGAACTGGGTCTCTTTTGGAAAAGACAGCAAACAGATCTCACACTTATGGAAGTTAGGTACTTGGTAGGGAAAATTACTGTTCTCTGTATTCGGTGTCAGAACATCATCTACAAAACAAGAATCAAAGCATCTGTATGAAGTTCACATTTCATTTGCTTATAATTTATTGTAAAAAACAGAATTCTTTGAAGCAGAAACTATTCAAACTCCTGTAAGACTTTGACTTATTCAAGATTCTAAGTTCACGGGATCTTGAAGCTCTTGGGCATAAACATTACTGCTTCCATTGATAAAGGATCAACAGAATATATCCATCCCACTAACTGCCAGCTGCTGCGTGGCCAGCAGGAGCAGGGAGGTGATTGTGCCCCTGTACTCAGCACTGGTGAGGCCGCACCTGGAATACTGTGTCCAGTTTTGGTACCCTCAGTACAAGAAGGACATTGAGGTGCTGGAGTGTGTCCAGAGAAGGGCAACAAAGCTGGCGAAGGGTCTGGAGCACAGGCCTTATGAGGAGCGGCTGAGGGAACTGGGGTTGTTTAGCCTGGAGAAGAGGAGGCTGAGGGGAGACCTTATCGCTCTCTACAACTACCTGAAAGGAGGTTGTAGTGAGGTGGGTGTTGGTCTCTTCTCCCAGGTAGTTAGCGATAGGACGAGAGGAAATGGGCTCAAGCTGCACCAGGGGAGCTTTAGATTGGAAATTAGGAAAAATTTCTTTACGGAAAGGGTAGTCAAGCATTGGAACAGGCTGCCCAGAGAGGTGGTGGAGTCACCATCCCTGGAAGTGTTCAAAAAACGGGTAGATATGGCACCTCGGGACAAGGTTTCGCCTAGTCTACCCTTGGTTGGTTTAGTGTGGACTTGGTAGTGTAGGTTAATGGTTGGACTGGATGATCTTAAAGGTCTTTTCCAACCTAAACGATTCTATGATTCTAAAGAAATAATCACCTTTTCCTAGTAATTTGAAATAAATTATTTCTGTGCTTCATAAACACCCATCAAAGTTTGCAGCAAAATAAAATGCTGCCAAATACACTAGGTATAAGTAAGATACTGCCAGGTGTTACTTTTAATAATATTACATCACTTGTTTCTTAAAAAAAACCCTAATATGACATACTCAGCAGTTCTGACTACACAGGTTTTCTGCCCTCCCCTGCTCCTTTCTCTCTCCCCCCTTTAAGAAAAATTTAGGGATCTTTTCTTCTACTTCTGTCAATGTAAAACCTTTATTAAAGGTTTTACTTATTAAACCACAAACCAAACAGTTACCTTCACAGTTGTAAAACCAACACCAATGTTTCAAATAGCTGAGAGAGATGCAATAAACCGCAAGTCAAACTGTGTACACATTAATTCAATGGATAAAAAGATTACAGTTTTTTTTTTTAATAGACCCAATCTAAGCCCACACAGTTTTCTTGCTTTGAACTCCTACAGTCACACAACTTTTGATATACAAGTTGCAAGCTTCTATATCCTCTTGCTTAAACGGCTGAAGTCAGTTCTATAAATATTTAAGATATGAGGAAAATATTAATCCAAGTACAGTAAGCACATTTTACATTTGAGAAGACACTGTACTACTAAGGAATTTATCTTTATCTAAATAAAACTTTAAGAAAAGCAATTGGCAGGAGGGTTTAAAATATGTAAGATCGTTCAAAGCAGTATTAATAAAATGAAAATAAAAATCGACTGACTCATGCTGTACATTAAGGACACTAAAGAGAAAAAAACCCATAGAATTCAGTTTCAAACACTGCCACAACTCAAAGTGCATGAACAACAGAGTGCAAGAGGATGCAAAAAAAAAAAAAAAGGGAACATTGATTTTATTATCTAGACACGCAAGGCCTCATGTTTCCCTTTAAGAAAGTCAGTACTTCTCACCATGTATGTAAGAATTAGGCATAGGAAGTAGCAACACAGCTAGAAATTTACAGCATCCTGTTTACATTTCCTCAGAGGAAACCAAAGCTTACAATTCATATAGTATTTCTGCTCAGTACTACACCTACCTCAAAGTCCTGTCTCATTCAACACACCATTTACAAGGCGGGGGGGGGGG